ATATCAGAATTTGTGATGATGACAAAAACACAACCTGGAGGAAGTAATTACAATTTTTTCCAAGAAACCAAAGAAAAAGAAAAAACAGTGTAGCAGCAAGAAAAAATTAATGGTAACTGAAAGAGAAGAGTGCACGAAAGCACTAAAGTAAGAATACATTGTTTACAACCAAGCAAAGAAAATCTCCCGTTAGAAAAGCAGACGTCGAATTCAACAAAGTTTTTTCTTGACGACTGTACTATAATATCTGTTTATTATCTTGAAAAACCGTTGATTATATAGCATTACCTATTTTTTCTCAAGCTAATCTTTTTTTTTTGCCAGTTTTTCTTCTCTTTAAATCCTGTCATATTCTATTTAGCTTGATTCTATTTCTTCTTATTTTCATATTTATCATGCTATGTCTGTCTTGGGTCAAGTTTAACCAAATAAATTCATCAACTGTAACGTTAGTTCTAACTAGCCACATCTGTTGTCAACTGTAGTTTGCCGTAGTCAACAACTCCATTACACCACCCCTACTCTTTTGGTGTAAACTTTTTGTTTTTTTTATCCATATCACTCTAACACTGCTATTTTTTAAAAAGAATGAACTTTTTATGCAACTACTTCTACTTTATAATAAATTCCTCTAGATCAATTTTCGTTTCTTTATAAAATCAAGCTACATACTTTCTTGTACTTCACTCCCATTACAATGGCAGGCCAACTTACCTTAACTAAATTTATGTAAAATTTTCTAATTTGGCGTTTTTTGATATTTAATTCATGCGTCTTCTGTACTTTTTTGATAAGTTATACTTCTGGTCAAAGTTGCACCCAAAACCTATGCTTTTTTGGAAAGGTCTTCTGTCTATCGGAATGGGCGTCGGACAGTACAGTACCCATTGCGCCCTTTGTATATGCCACATAACCAAAGAAAGTGAAAAATACCAAACTCTTCTGCGGAGTTGTTCCTTCTGCTGGACTGCTGTTTGCATAACGTGGTACACGTAAATGCTGTTATGTGCGATTTTGATTTTCATCTCTAGACTCAGATTTCCTGTAATAGTACCTCAGAAGACAGGAACGAAAGATCAGTCTGTTTTAGGAACCTTTTTCTAAAACAGATGCTGATTTGTTTTTTCATCCTTTATTCTGTTATTCTTGCAGAATGGTTCCCTTTTTACCAGTTTCCTAGGGCTGATCTCTGAAAAAGAAGTAAAGATAGTATTGAAATGAAAAAAGTTCTGGTAGCTACGATTTGAACGATGAACATACAGCTTGACTGGATAACGATTCATTTTAGTAAAATGAGGCAATCATATTTTTATTTAGATTTGATAAGGGCGACTTGTTGGAAGAGAGTAATTTATCATTGTTGTTTTTTATCGTTATTTTGGGTTCGTCTTTGTTATTTTCTTTAATCTTTCCGGTCACGTAAATTACAGAGGAACGCAGAGTCTAAAAACTGGAAACAAGCAGCCAACTACTGTAGATGCCAGTGTCTAAATAGGCCTGTTTTAGGGGGATTTCGATAACCACGCTCAGTAAACGTTTGGTGTAAGCGGAAGCCATCGCTAACATAGTCAACTTAAGATCTTGTGCCATGATGTAGAGTCCATCTGTAAAAAGTAGGAACCTTTGTTAAGAATCGGTTGATTAAATTTTACCTAGTATGAGCATTTTCATCTGTCAAACAGATTAGATGAATTGAAGAAAAATGAAGATGTAAATGTGATGCTAATGATTTACTTTGTGTCATTAGACCAAATATTGTACGTTGCTCTAGGTGTTAGATCAATTATACTACGTAAGAATCATGTGCTGAGAACCTACGAGGGTACCACCTTGACTCAGCTATTAAAGGAGATTCTTCTGTACCACTAACAGGGTTCGTCTTTTGTCTAAAGCAATTATCATTATTTACGGCTTATCAGTTCTCTACTACTTTTACTACTTTTACTACCCGATAAAGATTGGTACTTCATAAAGTATAAAAATTTATTCTACAGCAACCCTTGAGCAACACCCCTATTAGCTTCTTCTATTGATTCTTTCTTGTTCTATTACTATTACTATTTATTTACTGAGCATTGTGTTATATATAGTGTGTCTATTCAGTACCCAATGAAGATTGGTACTTTATAAAGTATAAAAATTTATTTAGATATATTCATGAAAAGTGGAGCAGAAATAATTGGAGCCGTCAAATAGTTTGAATATTCCATAACGCTTGAAGGGATAAACAGCGACGCTGAAACCGGATTGACCTTACCCAATTTAAATTTATTTGGTGAAAAACTTCGTGAGATGTACGTGGCCCATTCCATATATCATAAAGGAATAAAAACTTCAAGAATTTTAATAATTTAAGCTCTAATGCTGCGAAATGGGGTCCGTTTCTGGCGAATTAGCGAGGCGGTAAAAATTTTCTTGAAGAATAGATAAAGTTTAGTCCACCAGAAACACTGACCCTCACTACCGTCAAAAAAACTTCCTCTCTTCTCTTCCTTTATAGAGAAAATTATCTTGCACAAGAACTGTTTCTAGAAATCTGAGAGGCATCATAGTGGTGGTCTTATTGACGATAAAATAGTACTACAGTGGTTACGATAGCTTTATTAAAACTAGTTCTAGAGAAATGGCAAATCCCGTAAAAAGTTGGCCCACTGAGTTCTGCCCGCTTTTGAAACATCACTTTATCTGATCAAAACAACTTTTCAAGGGGAAGTTCCTTAAAAGAATACTGTCTAAATCGAGCTAGCGGTTTTATACCAAACTACAGATTTTTGAATATAATGGCAATGTTATCTCGTAACCTCACATCTGATTACAGAAAGGGCCACAGCAACTTTAGTATGGTTTCACAAATGCCGGTGGGACGCTTCCCGTTTAAAGCTAGAAAATTACTTCTACGGAACCTAAATTCCAAACTGCTTAGATCTTGGATGCCACTGCAAACGTCAAATAGCCTGTGCATTTTCATAACGAAATATATTTGGCAGGTATGCCATAATGTTATGGAAAACAAGTGGGCCTTAAAACGTTTAAGCGATAAAATAAAGCAGCTTTCGTGCCTTAACAACGTAATCAAAAACCAACCTAAATGTACCGTTTTTCAGCGTCACAGTCTTTTAACTAAATATTTGTTCATATATTTACAGCAAGACGAAACTGTCTCGTAAAATGGCACTAACTACAATTTCCCCTCCTTCAAAAATATTCAAAAACATGCAAAGATATTTATGTGCCACAATCCGAAAACTACAAGGAATTTACTGTTCAAGACAATCAAAGGGTAAAACAACACTCAATTCAAAAAGACGCTAGTAAACTTGCAGCATAAACTGGATGACAATATAGCAACTGTCGGAAATTTAAACACTGCACTGCAATTAAAAAGTATAGAATACTGATCATTTTTTTCAAGACCTGAGAAAAAACTTGGTTTAACAGGGCTTTAAGAGGAGAATAACCCAGAAAACTTCTTAATTTAGAAGTGCCAACCTCACTGATTTGAATGATACCTCCTGCCATCTGCTTTATCTGCAAGCCAAAGGGAAAGTTGAAGAAGTTTCTGGCTTGTAAATTATCAGCAATGAAAAAGTACAAAGTGAAAAGGCAGTGGTACTCTGCACCAAATAATTTTGCCCCCAACAGTCAACTACTTTGGGAGCAAAAATAAAGGAAGATAATTGCTTGATTCTAGACTCTCACTTATCTTCATCATATGTTAAGTATCCTTCGCGGAATATCGGTCCACACCGTTAGCCACCACGTTTGGTATACGGTTGGCTATTAGCAAACAAGGCCAAAACAAGCGTAGGGGCGGTAGCGTTCCTTTAGTATCTCTCTCATTGGTGTCCGTCTAAAATTCATACGTCGGATGACTGTTTCAGTGAGTCGATGTCCAGGGTTTCGGCAAAAGCTACTGCCAGCTACATAAGTGAAGGCATGACATGAAAATGACTAACCAATGCCGCACCAATAATGAAGAAGGGGAAAGACATGCCAAAAATGAAACTATTAAGGACGACGTCTGTCCAAATCATGCTCAGAATGGCCATTATTGCACCAAAACCTGCATAGTAAGCCCACTGCCGCTCGATCATATCCAGCCGTCGTGTGACATTTATGCCCTTTGCCGTCCAGACATACTCAAAACTAAAAATTATTTGCGTCATTGGTGTCAGCTATATTAACTGCTAAAGATTAGTGCAGCAGTATGATTGAACCTGGACTAATAAGCAGTAAAAACAGAATGGCAAGCTAAAAACGATAGTTGGTAAGATGATTCCAATTAATGAGCATAATAAAATAAGCTCCAAAAAGATACCTAAATAAAGCACACAAAAGCGAAAGATGAACGAAACAGATAAGCTGGCCAATGAAAGAAATATGGAAATCAACCCAAGTAACCATCCAAGTCTGAACCATGAACAGAAATTCAACAATCAACCCAACCAACATGTCACCAACACCATACCTGGAATACTACATTTCCGCAGACTTCAACTCATTCTTTCTGCGTTTCCCTAATTTCATTTCAAGCAGTCGTAATTATATGCTAAATTTGGTATAAGAGTTCTCTAAAAAAACTTGTTGATTATGTGAACTTTTAAAGTGATAAGACCCTTGAAGTCATACGCAAACGTCGGGAAGTTTACAGCATGGACATCTTTGTAACGGAGGGCTGCATTGGAAACGTCCAAACACCATATTCCATTAAAAACTTTTATAAAAAGATATACGGGTATGTATAATGAGCAACATGCAACGTTAGCCATTACCAGAACTGGTTTTCTAAGATAGTTCAACCGCCACTCAACTGGCCAGTCTGTATCTAGCAACCGGTAAAAAAAGCTGAATATTGGAATAATTATGAAGTACAAGACCACGGCGAAAGTGAAGTTCACAGTGATGCACTGAAGAACTCTGAAATAATCGTCAAATGACTGATGGCACAGACTTTTAAAGAAGGAAAACGGTGCATACAATATGGGTCCCGACGTCTTTTCTCGCTGTGGTTCACCTACGCTCCGCTGGCTTTCCTGCCCCAACCGCTTAGCCATCCCTCGTCTTGCAGCCAACACAGTCTGCCCCGTTCGACTGGGAGTTTCTTTGTGTGCTTCTCGAACTGCTGGTGTGGTTTTTAATCTATGAACGTTCTGGAAACTTTGAGTTTTGATTCGCTATGAAGAAGGTGAAAATTTGTGCTCAAAGAATTCTTAATGGACAAGGAAATTAGGATGAATTTTTGAATATTCACAACGTTTGTCAGTGTAAAAGTGACCGGACCATCTCATACTCTGCTGCACTAATTGGAAGCAAAATTTAAAGCATCAGTGTCTATATACAATAAACAGAACCTTGTAATAATCGGAAAAGACCTAACAAAAAATATATACATGAAAAGATAAGAAAATATGATCAACAATTACTTACAAAGAAACCGCATAGAGAGTCGCAAAAACCGGCCAAAAAGTCGCGAATAAATGTCAGGAAGAAATTTCCAAACATTGTTCTTAACACGGAAATGACAAACGGGACAACAGCCATGACTGCGCTGACGACATTAAACGTTATCTAGAGTCGGCGATACAAAAATTTTGGTGTTTCGCAGCTGCATCATAGCACTGCCTTTTCAACACCAACCTGAGGTAGGAATAGATAAGAAGAGTATCTAAAAACCTAGAACAAAATTAACTAACCGCATAAAAATTGTACTAATCGCAAAACAGTAGCAAAGGGAAAAAAAAAAAGAAAAAGACCAGCGAATTCATCGAATGTACGTGTAAAGAAGGACCAGAATGTTAAAATGTTCAAATAGTTACCGAGCCCAGTAAGAATGCACAAAGTACCCTGCAACACAAAGATAGTTTTAAAAAAGCCATTTGGCAAAACTCCATCGTTATATAAACCTGTATTTTGGTTACTTCTCAAACCACTGAATTTCATACTTTTGATTTGTTTCACGTGTTTGTGTTTTTTCGCGTTCTTGGATCCTTTAGGGCATAGTTTATAATTGTATTTGTTTTGCCAAGTCACGTTTTCTTCGTAGTTTTAGTGCAATTAATCTGACTGTTCTCAGTCAATGTCTAGTTTTCGTATAAAGGTTCAAGAGTATTTCCGACGTCGCACATCGGGTCAAAGTTTTGTTTATTCATTTTGCTCTACTGCTATACGCCGCCCTCCTCCAAAGCGCGTTGCAAGGATTATCTCAGTTTAGACCTTCAGGTGAAACTGTCATGTTACATTGTCAGCAATACCCATTTGTTCAGTTTACGCTCTGATGCCACTGGCAAGTAACCAAAGGAGGTCTTTCGTCAGAAATTTCCCAACAGAAAAAGAGGGCTTGATAATGTAAAAGTAGGCAGAACTCAGTGGACTTACTTTTTGGAAAAAAGTTGTGTCTCTTCGGTTGGTGCTTGTAAAAATAATATATGCACTGTAGCATTTTTTCGTCGTAAACAAGATAAAACAAGCAGCTTCTGTAACGCATCCAAAAAATGTTCTCGTAAAAAATGTTGTCAACCATAAGGAAAAGAACGGAACTTTTTTAATGACAGTGATGGCCAACAGTTTGATGGATTAAGCCTTACTTATTTTCCAATGCGCACTTTAGAGAACTGCTTCGCAGCGTCTTCGAATGCAAGGAATTTTTTCCATTGAAAAGGGCAAAGGGGAATTTAAGTATTGCGAAAAAGGTAGAGCGGTTACCAAAAAGAAGTTGGACACCTATCTGTCTTGTTTGTTCGTACTTTTTTTTGTCTTCGTTTGGATCTGTGAATTTCGTATTGAAAAATCATGTCTCTATATAGTAAATTTGAGTCACATTTCTCTCAGAAAATGTATACAAAATTTTTATTTACTTGAAATTTTACCGTGCATTACTTAACTAAATTTCTGAAGATGTAACAGTTAGTGAAAATGCGATGTCTTGACAGGCCGTTGCTGCTAAGTGCCGTTTTACAGTTTATTTTTCACCACTTTATTCTACATTCTTTACCATGACTCACCTGATCATCCTAATTCGAGTTTCGGAAATGTGCAATTTATTTTATAGACAAGAAAATTTTGCACAAAACTAGCTTCTAAGAAACACCTGAAGTGGGCATATTTTTCAACCTAGTCTTAAAAAAAGAACAGAACACTTCATTGACAGCAAAAACTATTTTTTCAGTCAGTCTGCTCTATAACTTCATTTTTTCTAGTCACAAGTCAAAATGTTCTTTAAATGCTTTGGAATAAACAGTCTACGTTCCCTCTTTTTTTTTGCTTTTCATTTTTCATTTAAAGTTTCTTCACTGTTTAATCATTCTAAGATCCATCTTTTTTGTTACCACTCAGCGTTGATCACCTGTTATGCTGAACATGTGCAAACATGTATAAACATGTGTCGTAAAAATCCAATTCCAAATGCGCTGTACTCTTTTAAGCAACCTGAGTGACAGTCGATGTTGCATCACTTTTTTGAAAAACCCTTAATACAATATGAACATATGTAATTTACAGTACCTATCCGGAAACGATCTCTTTTGCATACGCTTTTTGCTGTTCTTCCTGTTCGGAATTTCTGATCTTTTTTATTCACCTATTCAAAGCGTTAAAAACATTTGTGCAGTTTCTAGTTAAATTTTACCAAAAAAGTCTAGATTTATCCGAGTAAAACTACGTTTCACTACGCCAAAATCAAAGATGACAAGTCGCTGAGATGTACACTAAAATTAGGATCTTGAATGGTAATAGCAAAGAAAATAAATATATTTTTTGGAAGGTGAGTGGAAGTGCGTTGGATGTACGGAAGAGAGGGAAGAATACCGGCATATAAATGCGGATGTTCTAAGCCCATTGAATAATAAGAAACTATTTGACTTTTTCCCACGCCTTGAACCATGAAGTGCAAGTTTCAAGTGTCGCTAACAATATGGTTTAGCTGTCTCACCTAGAACTTTAAATCAAGACATTTGCATAGCTTTTCTAGGAGAAACTTTTGGTGGGAAAGAGGACCTGTGGGGCTCCTAATCGTAAAAAGGTACTTTACAGCGGAAAAACAACTATAATTGCATGCTTTTTTTACTAGGGAGGGCAAAACGCTGCAAGTCATAATTGTCCGCGTGGTCTCACCGTTCAATGCTTAAAAGCTTCTGCTTTCAGCATGGTCCTTAGCAGTACTGAGTTGTCAGAGAAAGACAATTTCTTTCTTGATATTGCATTCGATTTGGCTCACGAAGCAATCGCTCATGACGAAGTCCCCGTTGGCTGCGTTTTTGTAGTGAATGATAAGGAAATAGCTCGAGGAAGAAATGATGTCAATCGTTCGAAGAATCCAACCAGACACGCGGAAATGGTTGCACTCGATAAACTGAAAACTTACTGTTTGTCCTCTGGTCAGACTCTTGAAGCCTTACTGGTGGAAACAACTCTTTATGTTTCTCTGGAACCATGTATCATGTGCGCATGTGCACTTTATCATCTACGTATTAGGAGGATAATTTACGGAGCAGCTAATGAACGCTTTGGTGGCTTGAACAGTGTAGGCAGCCGTGAGAAATACGGCATCGACCATAACATTGAAATTGTTCCGGATGTCAGGAAGTCTGATGCAGTTAAGCTACTGAAGCTTTTTTATGAAAGACAAAATCCGTTTTGTCCCGAAGAAAAGAGGAAAATGAAAAAGAAGAAAGTGGTGAGCAACCTTGTATTTTTAATTGGTTGCATCATTCAGTGCTTCCACCATTTTGAATGAATACTCCAAGAGAGTGGAGTAAGCAGGTTGTGTTATCATCTCCAAAAGCTAAATTTAAAAAAAATTTTGTTTTATGCCTTTCTGAATTGTTGCAAAGTGTTAACAGTCTATCTTTATGAGGTTTTTTATTTTTGCTTTCATTCACGAAAACCTTTATTAGTTTGATTCTAGTTGAGTTATCAAAATTTTGCAAAAATTTGGATAGATGTACGATAGTTTCGTTTGAATTTTTTTGTGGAAATAGAACTATTTATTATTCTTGGTCATTCTGCTGTATTATATTAATTTGGTTGTCATTTTTTAAGGTATTAGAAAATTTATAATTTGTATTTTGGTATTTCACTTCATGTGTTTTTTAGGGGAAGGACCACGACTGAGCAAAATGGTCATTCATTTGGTTACCAGACCATTTCCATACATCTCATCGTTAGTTTATTGTTGCTTTACAGGTATGAATGTTTATCTCGTATTACTTCTTTGATTATTTGAAATGAAGGTACTAAAAAAGTTCCACACCTGTTTCCTGATTTTTTTAGCTTTTTGGCACCGCATGCAGTCTATTACCGACTCTGGAGTCATTGAGCCAAAAAGAGATTAGTTTATACTTCCGGACACTGTAACGGAGCAGCTAGACAAACGGTCGTGTGGAGCCACTCTTACTGAACTATTGGCTTTTGGCAAGAGCAAAGATTGATTTTATAAAATTGGTTGTTGGCGTTGAGAAATTTCAGTTCAACATCGGTCTTTGAGGGTGAAGAGTACAGTCTCAACTTTAGGTTTGTATCCTCAGGCCTTCTAATGCGGTCGTCAAAAACTAATGATGGGAAGCGCCTATGGTGGACAGCAGCGCTGAACTGGAACAAATTTTTTGTTCTATATTCCTAGAAATATTTTGTATTTCAATCTGATGTATTTTCAGTGTTGAGTTCAATTATACTTTTTCTCGAGTTTATTCTTCTTGATATTTTGTTGGAACGATTCGTTTTGTTGAAATGATATTTTAGACACCTCACTCAAGAAGTTTGTAGCTGCTCATGTTGTCGGAGTAAACTAATTTTCAAAATTTTTATCCTACTCGGGAATAGGATTTGGGATACTCTTCAATATGTTGATTTCAAATAGTCTGCCCAAATTTATTTTTACTGTTTTTCAAGAAACAGAAAGACCGGGAGCTTTATCCAGTACAAAAATGAGATCTTTTGCTTTATTCGTTATAATATGCTCTGCTGTACATCTTCCTCTTTTAACTCTGGCGGTATCATTCGAATTTTTAGATGAAAATTGCTTACGTATAAATTTCCTCTAAATCACTTTTAAAGAATGACAGCTTAGAAATCTTTTTTAATTTGTTAGTTCGAGGCTGTAGCAAACTTACTTTTGATGCAACTAATGCAGAAAAGAAAGGCAATTTCTATTTTTGATTTTTCTGCTTTGTTATTTAGGAGCAGATGTATATTCGTTCACTGTCTAACCAAGTCTTATCTACCTTCTAAATCCTTGATTTTATAATGTAATTTTGGTATTTTCTGGTATTAAAAGTATTAAATGTTGCTAAATAGCGTTTTGTTTCTGAACATATTGGCTTTCATTTGCGTAAAATAACTTGTTTCCAATGATAACTCAAGACAGTTCAGAAGCGTTGCCTATCCCTATTGGGTGAAGTACGTAATGTCGAAAAAGCCGAAAACACTTTGCTGCAAATAGCAGATGTTGCTTTTTGTAGGTGTGAATATTAAAGCTAGAAATTAGAATAAAAGTCGGCTTGTGATTGGTTTCAAGCTCTATTTAAAATTTTTGAGGGAGAATGCTACTCGAGCTTTTGTAACTGTAGGGTATTTGAGGTTGGTTTAATGGGCGATTCCAGAGGAATTGGACATTTGGATATGGTTAATTTGTATGAAAAAGGTCATTAATTAACAGGAGCGTTACGAAGTATTATCGCTAAAATGATTGGCTTACTCAGGAATTTGAGATTCAGAATCCGCTTATCTACTGTATTCCGTGCCTTTCAGAATTTGTTTTTAAATCCATTCATGGTTCTTGAGTGCTTTTGGTGAAGTTCTCGAAACAGCTGAAAGTAACAGCACATTATGATTTATGCGTATTTTGTTTGAAAAAAATTAGTCGATGTATGAAAGATGCACTGCTTTGCTACAATTGCAAACGGAGGGAATCAGAATTTTTCTCTTGTCTAATTCTGAATACCATAGCAGGACCAAAGAACGAATTCCATGTTCTATTTAACTATTATTTAAATGGTTTTGTATATTTATTTACTCCATATATTTGTGGATTCGAGTTTTTTAAAAAGATTTTTACCCTAGCAGTTCTAATCGCTTGGTCTTCAGTCAAATGGCTAGATACGCAGACGACGAGCCGGTGATTCTAGACCGATAACAGGGAGGTTGTAGATACTTGGGTAACCAGAATCTAACGGAACGTTTGATTTGTATGTCACCTTCTGAGTGATAAAAGTTTTGGTAAAAAGTGGCAAAAATTAATGGTGCATTCATAGTGTCTCGGTTCAGTAAGTTTACAATTGGGTGCTGAGAACTAGTACAGTGAAGTACTCATTTTTAAACGTAAGATGCCGTTATTCTCTCAGTTCCTTTAACTTCATATTTAATTACTATCGAACACTTTGCATGTCATTGCTTATTATACTTTTCAAAGAGAAGAAAATGTTTTGATCCTTACCAGGAAGGTCTTTACAGCCTTTCAAGGAATTTTATCGCTGATTTACTGTTGGTTTAATACTGTTTGGTCACGATATAGAATAAGCTATGACCGATTGACTATCCTTGAAAAGTGCATTTATTCCTCCTCATAATACTATGATCAGAATGTCAGTCTACTTCATTGTTTTGCGAAGGTGTCGTTTGCACTTGTAGTTTATTTGAATCAAGGAGACTCCGCATTGATGGGTATAAAAGAAGGGAGAAAGTATTCCTGTGATTTTAAATCATCTTTGTTTCCGCTTCTGGCAAACTAAGTAAATCTTTGTGGTCCTTCGGATTGCAGCTTCTAAATCCTTTAAAAAAATTGACCTTGTTTTTCACGCTTGCTTGAATTCTTTGTCCAATTACTAAATTGTATTGTGTCTCAGTAGTGTCTCAGTACAGTAGAGTGTCTCACAAATTAATACAAAATCAAATAACAAACAAATATGTCTCATTAAAATTTTGAGGTGTCGTGGTGCCTTTTTCCTTGTTTTTAATTTTGCCTTAGTGAACGTGATGAGTGAATTTTCAATCTATATAAGTTGAATAGATTTCAAGTCATCCAACTTGCTGTGCGGAAAAAATATGTGCAGAAAGACTAACTGAGGTATTTGTTGTTTAGTCTTCACTACGTCACCTTAATGATAGCTGGCTAAAGGCTACAGGCCCCCACTGAAGTTGCTCACTTTTTTGAAACTGGTTTTCAAGGTGAAACGTATACGTTAACAATACGGCAGTAGTTTTTTTTAAAGATGCCTACTAATTAAAAAAGGTATTGTGAAATCGACTTCAATTTCATGTAGCACGCACGACTGCCTTGTAACCTGAAGTTCAATAACTTTTCAAACGGTTGTCGAGAAATTGGAAAAGTTACTTCTTCCTCATGTTCAGCGATCCCTAGGGAACAGACTGTCCTACGCGTTTTAAGGTCTAATCTTTTCTACCAATTTCTAATTCATTATGCAACTAAAAGCCCTCTAATTGCACTCCCAGGCAAAAAGCAAAAAACTTGCAAATCTCGTACAGCTCCGACAGTGCCACTAAAAACTTGATCTCCGCTTCGTACTATTAAAAAGAATCTTTTCGCACTTCAGGAACCGTTAACTGAAGCTGACTAACTTTACAGCAAATTTTCGTAAATGGCAAAGGTACAGCTATGTTTACAGACTTTCTTCTTCAACAACTTAGTGAGAAAAAATTATTTCCTTACCAACATCCTTCAACAATTATCCCCGCAACCACCGAATTTTAAAATATGAAAAATTCAACTAAATAAATCCATAAATAGAATGTTTTGCTAAACGTCTAACGTACGTGTAATAATAATTCAGCAAACAATCTTTATTTGACATATTAGATAATTTTTTCAAATAAACTGTCTGACTCAAAAGACAACGACTACTTCCAAAACTCTTTTTTGTTTCGGCAGTCCAATAACCTTCAATGTTTCAACTATCATATATTACCGCTGAATTAACTCTGACACTACCAGTTATCGAAGTAAAAAGGCTAAAATGGCCATCAAACTCAAATTATCGTAGTACCATTACTACCCAGTCAACACTGCTATTATTACCTTGACAACCAGCAAAAGTTTAATGATGAACTCGTTGGCATCTGTATTTTGTACAGTGCACTCTATTATATACAGCAAGACAGTCTTTAGGGAAGCGACGAAGAGATGTTTAATTGCTAAAAAAAAAATTTCGGCGCCTCTCAAGGTCCCAAATTTCCTAAAAGCCAGCTGCTGACCCTTAAAATTGTGCTGGTTGTGCGGTTAGAATCTGGAGTATTTGTTAACTAGCTGCCAAAAGCTAACATGACTAATTCTGAAGAACTTTCATTTGATCAGCGTAAAAGGCCGCCAATTCGATATTACCAAGAAAATTTCGGTTATAGAAATAAATGTTTTGCGTAGCTGTATATGTACATTCACTACTCCTAAAAGATAGCCTTAAAACAGTTCCACCCCATCTTTCAACAACCTTCAGTTTATCTCAGGTTTAACATTTTTAGGCAATGCAAAAATCATTCTAAACAGAACATTCCTGACAATATATTGCAAGTGCGTCTATCCTAGCATCAGAAACAAGTGCGCCTTTAACCAAAAATTTGAACAGACCTAAATTCCCAGCAAAATCTGCTTTTCATTACTTTCCTCTGTGAAAATACGATTAAGAAGGTTCTAAAGTCAATCGGCGGACGTTTGATCATGCTATGGGAACTTTCTGTTATGATGTAGCACAAGTGGCACAGACCCGTTACCAAATAAAAGTTGGTCTTAAAACTTGAAAATGCAGCTAGTTTGAGAAAAAACTGATAGAACCACGCACGGTAATTACACCAGCCGTGAAAAAATAAAAATGGATTTGACTTAACCATTTACTGCCATCATCTTCAAAAAAAAAAAAAAAACTTCTCTGTTTAAACTGCAGTCATAAAAATCCTCAAATTTTTGGATGTAGAACTTAGAGTCAAATAAAATGCTACCAGTTTCACACATCTTCATTATCGCCTTTTTCCCCAGGTGCCTTAGAAATCAGCAATGAGTTTGAAAATTTTTTGAATGCAAATTCTAAATCAAGTACGAGCTTAAAAATCAAAAATGATCTTTAAACTCGTACCTGATTTAGTTCCAGTCATCACAGTTGAGGTTTTGTTTTTTAAACATACCTAAGATGTTTTTCCGGCCCCGATTAATTCATCTGTCTATGATGTGCTAGCGGCAGACACCACAATTAGAAAAAAACCCAAAAAAGTAAATCCAAAAAAACTGAAGAAAAGCGCAGTCACTATTTTATAATTCCGCCCGACCATGATAAATGAACATTACGTAAGGAAGAATGAAGACCTGTACAAGCTTTCTTGCATAATTCGACAAATAATAAGGACACAATAATTCAAAAAATTAAAAGGAGATATCACCCCCATTTTCAGCTTTCAAAAAACAAATAAAGCGAAAAAAATTCTGAAAACACACAAATTTGGAAATGATGAACTTTTTATTACAGCTTTCCCGACCAATTGCTATGGCGCTTCCTTCGTCATTTCTTCTGTCGTTCTCGAGTACACCCTCTTCACCTGCACTGGCGCAATTTCAAATAGACCTTAATTATCCTTCAGAATCTAAAAGAACTGCCAAGCACTTATACTTCACCAGTATAAATTAGCCCAGCCACAGAAAATTACTAAAATGTATTTTGCCCAAACAATCCTCCACCAACCTTTAACACAATCACAAAGTTTCATCTGAAAAAACATCCTACTTGGGAAATTTCACCTCGTACAACAAAACTCTTAGCATAATACCCCCCAAAAAAATAAAAACAAAGCCACTTACCCCCTTTGCATTTGTAAAGCTTGTACTTTTCTTTGAATTTTAGTTCCTTTTCAACGTCTTAATGGGACACAAGTCACTGTGAAGCTAGAAATCATACACCTTCAAATAAATTCTCTAAAG